AGTATATCCCTGCTCTTGTGTTCTAGTCCCTAACACCATGGGCTCTTATCTTAGTCAGAAGCTTCCTCTGCAACGCCTTGTCAAAGGCCTTCTGGAAATCCAAATAGATTATGGCCACTGGCTGTCCTTTGTGGCTCCGAGGTTTGCACTGCTGCCTCACAACATCAAAGACCTGGGTTTGATTCAAGCTGTTGGCAACTATCTGTGTGGAGTTTGCACATTTGTCCCGTGTCTGCGCGGATTTCCCTCGGGTGCTCTAGTTTCCTCCCACAGTCCAAAGGTGTGCAGGTTCGGTGGATTGACCATGCTGAATTGCCCATTGTGTCCAGGGATGTGCAGGCTGGGTGGGTTAGCCGCGGGTAATGCAGGGTCACAGGGATAAGGTAGGGGGGTGATTCTGGGTGGGATGTTGTTCGGAGGGTGGGTGTGGTCTCAATGGACCAGATGGCCTGTTTCCACACTGTAGGGATTCTATGAACTTATTCATTCCCTTCTGAAAGATAGTTGGAACTTGCTCATTCCCTTTTCAAACTGTGTTTTTAAAATGAAAGGCATTAAATAAATATCAATGTTTCACAGCTTTGTGGTTCTAAACTCAACATTGGATTCTGATGAATGTTAGAGATTTAGTTTTGTAGGTTTAAACACATGTTCAGATGTAAATCCAGAGGTAGCTGACCTGGAGAGGAGAACAGTTGGTCTTTTCCAAAACGTATTTTGTATCTCTTGCAGGCTATTGTTGGGTAGTTCCATCACAGGCGTGAACTCAACATTATCCTATTTAACAATAGCAGTGGGGGGAAGTGAGAAAGCAGCTGAAATATTGACCTGGAATTGAAAATCAGTGGTGAAGTGATGGTGTATTCCATTGACATCAAATGAAGCTGTTCACAGTGAGCTAGCAAACTCTGTGACATGGATTTCTCCTTTCAACATTAGTTTCATCGCAGCACCAGCTATGGGGAACTCTGGCATCAAGAATACTAATATCGAAGATAGTAAGAACTGCAGATGCTGGAGTCAGAGATAACACCGTGTGAAGCTGGAGGAACACAGCAGACCAGGCAGCATCAGAGGAGCAGGAAAGTTGATGTTTCGGGTCGGGACCCTTCTTCAGAAATGGTTGGTGTTGGGGAGTGGAGCTCAGAAATAAATAGAGAGGGGGGGTGGGGCTGGGGAAGGTAGGTGAGATGGTCATAGGTGAGTGCACGTAGGGAGGGGTGGGGATTGGTCAGTGAGGTGGGAGGAGCGGATAGGGTGGGAGAGAAGATGGACGAGTTGTGTCAGGTCAAGGAGGCGGGGATGAGAGGGAGGTTTGGTCATGGGATGAGACCGGGAGTGGGGAGATTTTGAAACTGGTAAAATCCACATTTAGGCCATTGGGCTGTAGGCTCCCGAGACAGAATATGAGGTGCTGCTCCACCAGTTTGCGGGTGGCGTCACTGTGACACTGGAGGAGGCCCAGGATGGACATGTTGCCCAGGGAGTGGGAGGGGGAGTTGAAATGGTTCGCGATGGAAGGTGTTGTCGTTTGTCGTGAACAGAGTGCAGGTGCTCTACAAAGCGGATACTAATATCATTACCTAGGCTAAGCAGCCAATCACTTTGAAGAATTCTCCCAGACAGCAAACTAGGAAGTGACAAACAAGTTTTACCATTCACTTTTAAAAATAACTTTACAGAAAGTGAAATAAAGATTGGAATATATACATGGAATTAAGACACAAGAAGAAACATTGTAAATGTTTTAAAAAGTACATTTTTTATTATTTTAAAAACTAAGGATTTTTATCATGGAATGTAGAAATTAGATATTTCACAAAAATTGTGTTGTTTTCTCAGGTGCTAGAGGTTGTCAGCAACAATTATGGCTTAATACTTCATTAAAAAGGCTGGTTATTCCTTATTCAATAAGGTACAAATTTTTCTGGACATTCTACAGCAGGAGTAATGGTATAAAATGTATAAGTTCATGTGAACTCGATCATTTCTAATTTGTTTTCCATCTACAAGGACTTCAATAATATACTGTGGAGCAGTGGTGAATCACTGACAGCATGCTCCAGAATTCCACGTTTTACTGTACGTGAGGATGCCAGATGTGGCTGTCTGTTTCAGAGGAGTAATGACAGCAAGTGTTAACAGTTTCTCCCTAATTACAGCCACAAAATTTAGACCAAATTTACAAGGGCGGCATGATGGCTCAGTGGTTAGCATTGGTGCCTCACAACGCCAGGGACTCTGGTTTGATTCAAGCCTCAGGCAATTGTGTGGAGTTTGCACATTCTCCCCATGTCTCTGTGAGTTTCCTCCCAGGTGCTCCAGTTTCCTCCCACTGTTCACAGATGTGCAGGTTAGGTGGATTGGCCATGCTAAATTGTCCATCATGCCCAGGATTGTGCAGGCTAGGTGGATCAGCCATGGGAAATGCAGGCGTAAGGTAGGGGGGATTTAGTCTGGGTGCGATGCTCTTTGGAGGATCAGTTTAGACTTGATGAGCTGAATGGCCTGCTTCTACTCTGTAGGGATTCTGTGACTTGACAGAGGATACTATGTTGGCTGTAATCCCTATTTATGTGTCAGCTAAATAAGTTACTTCTAAATGTTTTTCAGTTAGTGATTTTTTTTTAAACTACAAATCAGTTTTTTCTTCGCGACATTCCCTGTGAATGATGTGCATGCACTGCTGAGCTGCAGTTCAGAACTTAATGCGTAGCCACAAATACACCATACACAATAAGTGGTCCCTTTAAGATATGCACATGTAGGGATGTGTATCAATCTTAAAGGGACCGTGCAGTACAAAGAACAGGCCACAAGCAGCACCAGATAATTAACAGAAGCCTTACTTTTGGTTAAAGTATATTACATATGCCAAATGGAATGTTATTTGAAATGTCTTTCTGTGGTTACAATTTCACTGCTGACATTCAGGCTGGGATTTTGTCAGTTGTGTGTTGCTCGCGATATCATTACCAGAACTGTGCGCTGACTTTGCTTTCTCTCTTTTTCACAGTTTCTCACAATTATTATTAAAATTTGAGAACTGGAGGCATGCAGGCAAAATGTGTGTGACTAAGCAGCAGTGAAAGTTAATCATTGGTGAAAGCTACCATCAGCTGACAATGTTGCAAATACTTGCGATCAGGGTGGCACGGTGGCTCAGTGGTTCGCACTGCTGCCTCACAATGCTAGGGACCCAGGTTCGATTCCACCGTCGGGCAACTGTCTGTGTGGAATTTGCACGTTCTCCCCGTGTCTGCATGGGTTTCCTCCGGGTGCTCCGGTTTCCTCCCACAGTCCAAAGATGTGCAGGCTAGGTAGATTGGCCATGCTAAATTGCCTGTAGTGTTCAGGGATGTGTAGCTTAGGTGGGTTATAGGTTTATAGGGGGATGGGTCTGGGTGGGATGCTCCAAGGTCAGGGTGGACTGGTTGGGCCAAAGGGCCTGTTTCCACACTGTAGGGATTCTATGAGACCCATATATATAGTCTACCTTCAATTGCTGAACTATGAAATGAGAACATGTTCATTTATAAATTTTACCCATGAACTGATGCTCAGTGAGGTTTCCAACAATTTCTATTGTCAACAACCAAAACTCCACCTCATTACACACCTGGGCATCTCCCGCAATGATCTCCATTTCTAACTCTGCATGTTTTTCTGGCAACAATACAGAATTGGTCATTGTAAAGTTTGGTCTCAACCATTACCTTCCTCCTATCACTTTCATTCTTGCCCTCATCACCTTCTCAACAATACTTTGTTCCCTCCCTCTATAATCTGTCGTGTGATTTTTCATGCACTGCTAATTTGATCCTGAGAATGCAACTTTATTAAAAACTGTTTCACACTGAAAAATTGATATCATTCAAGTATATTATAGGTACAAACCTACCACAGGCCAGTGTAATGCTCAACACTCTGCAAACTTGCTGCAGACTTTATCTCTGTATCTCATCCCATCATCAGGAAATCTGAAGTTTGCATCCTGCCTTCTTAAATCACCTCACACACTCTGTTTCTTGCACTTGTGGCTCGATAAAATTCCCCTTTCAGTTAAGGATCTCGGCTCTGCTTCAATATCTTCAATTTTGAAGCACTCATTCACATGGAACTGTCATATCAAGGGGGAAATAATAAAGACCATTGCACCTTCTTTATCCTTGAATTTTATTTTAAATAAAGGATTGTGGATTTGGAATAAAATATTTGTCGTTATAAGGTATTTTGTCATTGGTGTGAAAATTTAGGAAATGTTTCCATGAGTGAGTTTTTTTCTTCAATATGGTAATGTCTACAAAACACACATTGACCTTTGTTTAATAGCATTATATTTGATCTCAGCTCCACGTGGGATATGTCTAATCAATGGATAATATTTAGTGACTCATTAGGAGAGTTATGTAACAATGCTCCTGAACCAATGTTTTGGAATTCTGTTTAATTAAAGAATTCTGGCAACATAACCAGGATGTATTCTGTATTAGCACACACAAAACATTAACAGGGTAGATATTTTGAATGAATAGTGTGCCAAGGAATTTAATGTTAGTATTTAATAACAAGACATTGCGGTTTTACAATGGAGAACAAAGGGATCAAAGTCATCATTTGCCCATGTTAGGTCAAGGAATTTACTTCCTTCAATGGACAAATTTAGGTCACCTGCCAGTCTGCATTTCTACAGCACAACAGAGGAGTCTGCTTCTGGGATAATGTTTTCTACAGTGTGTAAAATGTAACAAATAAATATATTTTAATTTCAACAGTCTGATGTATATCGAAATTGCATCTTTAATTTGAAGCAATAGCCAAAAGGCACATCCATATCTGAAATTGCATCAGTAATACAAAAGGAGTACACTTCCCCCTTTTGCGGGACTAGTTAAAGCTCAATTAGGTATATGCTGATTTTGTTTTTGCCTTCAGCTACAGCTAGCAACTCGAACAAAAGTAAGTTTCCTCATGTGTTTTATTTTGTGGTTTCTTTTCAGACAATCAAGTGTGTCAAGATTGAATCAGACTGCAAGATGCCATCTTGTATATGGTATGGATATTAAATGTTCAATTTATCATCAGTTATTGAACAATTTACCTGCTTTTAATGTTTGTATAATGTGTACTTCTGATCTGAGAGCCTTCCTTGCCTGTTTTTGCTGGCTGTTTGTTTGTTTGTTTGTTTGTTTGTTTTCTGGTCAGGTTTAAACAAAATACTGTTGGCATATATGTAGGTATAAAAATGGGGTAAGGATAAACCTGGAAATTTATTTCAACTTAACTTACAAGATTAAGGCAAGAGAGGGCAGTTTTAAACAAGAAAAATACAATGACCAAATGTATTGGGACTGATGATTGGAAATTGTTCTTTATACAAAGAGTGATTTAATACTCCGATAGGATTTTTGAGCCCAGCAGTGGAGGTAAATACACTGGCGTTATTTAAACAGGAATGAGATGTTGGGAAGAGCTGTAGGATCTCTCTGAATGAATGACCTAAAAGACAGTCAAATTACTTCCCTCATTCATATTAATCTTGTGATTTTGAAGATTATTTAATCAAACTTGATGAAACCAATTGTGTGAAATCACAACTTATTATATCTTGACATTAATGTGGGATTGTGTGGTAAGCTATCTATTTATGAAAGGTTAAATCTGATGCTACAGGTCATGCAAAGAGACTTAAAGAGCAGCAGTTATACTTTATTCTAGTTGAATTTTATAACCTATTTCTAAGAAAACTTCTCATTTTTTGATTTTCAATATTGTTTTCTTTTTCTAACCTGATTAGTTTCTCCACCTTCACACAACAGACCATTGGGACAATGTATTGTTTCCAGGTCTCTTTCATTTCCGGTTACATTTATTTGGTGCAGGAAAATTAGTTCACACCTCTTATAAATCACTAGCTAGGCCTCCCCTGACATTTTTCTAATTCTAGGCACCGCACTTTAAGAAGGACGCTAAGGTCTTGGAGAGGGTATGGAACAGATTCACCAGAATGATGTCAGGGTTATGAGACAATGGTTATGTGGAGAGAGCAAAGCTTGGAATGTTATCCTTATATGGAGCAGGGATTAAGGGACAATTTTAAAATGTTCCAAATCGTTACTTTTGGTAAGGTAAATAAGAAAAAAACTATTTCCATCAACAGGTTATTCAATAACTGAAGGGCACCATTTTGAGATAGTTAGCATGAAAACCGGAAAGGAGCTGAGGCTTTACACAACAACCTTTTATTATCTGGAATGCACAGGATTAAAGGGTAGTGGAAGTGGACTCAATAGTCATGTTCAAAATGGAATTAAATATTTGAAAAGGTAACACTTGTAGGGATATAGTGAAAAAGCTCGTGAGTAGGACTAATTTAATGGCGGTATCAAAGAAATGAGCAGTGCTCCTGTATTCCTATAATCAACTGAAACTGCAGTAGATTGATTGCCCCTCTCATCTTCAGAGGAGTAATTGACCACCATTCCAAATGACCTCTAAATATCCTAACTATAATTCATCACATGACAATGTTCTCATATCACAATGTTCTCATATCATGCCACAGTGTCTTTGTTGTGCTGGGAATCCATAATGTGAAAAATATAGGAACATTTCTGATTATTGTTGTGAGGTTTAAGTTAATCAAAAGTTGAGTAGGATATAAATGTTTAGTACAGACTCCATGCTACTGCTTTTGGATAACTGGATTGAGAAAGAATTTTAAAAGCAGTTAATAAAAATAGTCATGTAAGCCCTCTTTGTTATGGGAAATAAAGACACCAGTTTTTTTTTAAGTTAATTGATAATGTCAAAAGGAGACTAGATTTATCCTTTAAACTGCCCTCCTTTTGTTGATATGCTATGATTTCCAACTTATTTATGGCTCAAATGAAAATCAAGTCTCAATGAAACCAGACACCTATCAGTATAAAGTGGCAGCGAACCTTCTCATGACTATCAGTTGTTGTACTCTTCATCCTTTTGCTCCTCTAAGTTGCGTTGTCCTCAATCACCTATTCCCTTATGCAGAGCCCATCACAAGCAATTCCAGCACATATGAGGGTAAGCCTAATGCTCCTTGAAAACTATCAGTAGCAAAATCAATGCACATTACTCATAGGTAGATTGCTGTATCTGATGGTAACACAAATAAGGTTGAAGATTAAAAATGTTTTTGAAAGCTATTTTCAAATTCAAGAGAACTCAGTAAGAAATCATCAATTGGAATAATACTCGGGCTCGTTCCAAACTTTAGATAGCCATGTGCTTAAGAGAATGACAAAAGAACTAGAAAATGCAGAATCAAGCAAGGTAGCTGTTGGATGCGGGAAATGAGACTGAATGGAGAGGAAAAGGGATTAAACCCTGACAAAGACTTATGTGCCAAGTGGTCTGTAGCAATGTTGTAATTTGTATGCATTTCTATGGGGAGGGAAAATCTGACACAGGCAGTCTCTGGGTTGGAAACAGGTTCCATTCTGGCGTCTGTTTGCAAGTCAAATTGTACACAATTCAGAAAACAATGCAGGACAATGTAAAGCAGCTGTTCGTAAGTACAGGAACTGTTCAAGTGTTGGATCTTTAAAATTATACCCCTGCATGGTATCACATTTGTAAGTTGGACCTTCGTAAATTGGGGAGCTCATGAAGTTTATTTGGAATGTTTCAATGATATGGATTATGCGATACTTCATTATGTTCAGAGTTGTATGTGAGATGCAAATTTGATTTTCTTAGTAGTGTAAGCTGCCCGTTGCTATCACAGAACTTTACTCCCAAAATGATATTTCTGTAAGAGAGCTATTTCTCACTATTAATTTATTTGTCATCTTGTTTGAAAGTTATAAACATCAACTTCACTGTGATTTATGATGTACACAAACATCCTCAGTGGGCCAGTGGTCGACATCAATAGATTTCCAAATGCAGAATTGATATCTGAGATTTTAATCGGATATGCCTGAGTTTTTGAGCATGGAGGAACATCTTTTACTGAGCGCCTCAAGCATGTAGCAAAATTCTATTTGGAGTTTATTTTCAGTCTTGGATAATTTTGAAAATAGCACCTCACAGTTTCTCTCAAAGCTGTAAATGTGTGTTGATGTCTATGAAATTTATCTCCATGATATTTAGAGATATTTTCTCACTTAATTTGACAAAATAGTCATAGGGTTGTCAAATATCCTGAAGTCACAAAGAAATAAGACATAAGGCCCATACTTCAATGCGAATAGCTCTCTTTTTATCTCCTATTTTCATCACTGCTATTTTGAGCAATGTTGGCACTCACTCCTACATTTGATTTAATGCAATTGATTAAACCATAGGCATGATTTTCCCCTCCCAGGATGTGGCATAAATGACTCTGCCCTTCTCACCAGCATGGTGAGATCTATTGGGGAGCTTCTTGACTTGCCACCAGTTAAGGGCCCTAAGAAGTGAATGAATCGTCACTGAAGGGCCCCAACTCTCACTGCCCAATTACCAGCCTTCCCAGCTAAAATACAAAGTAGCTGGTTTGCCAACTGGGTCCCAGTGTGACCTGTCTGATTGTTTGGGAGAGGCCTTCAATCTCCACAATTTTGTGCCAATCAGAGGCAGGGATTGTGGGGTTTTGAGGTTTAGTCACTTTATTTTTAAAAAAACTGAATGGATATGGGTGTCACAGTCTGGACCACCATTTATCATCCATTCCTAATTACCCAGAGGGGAGTTAAGTGTCAACCATCTTTCTGTTTATCGGCCAGATCAGCTGAGGACAGCAAATTTCCTAAAGGACATTAGTGAAGCAGAAGGGACAATCAGCAGTAGATATATGGTCACTATTAGGCTAGCTTTCAGATATGTATTGAATTCAAATTTCACAACTGCCATGATGGCATGACCCCATAACTTTGGCCTGGGGTTCTACATTACTAATTTAATGACATTATCACTAAGCTACTGCCTCCCCTATTTAAATATTTTGTATATTATTTTGTAATATCAGGAAAGCTAACAGGCAGTTCACACCAACCAAGTTTTCACAAACTGTAGTAGTCCGTTATAGTGGCAGATGCTACCAGACAATGCTGAGTTTCTCAAGTAATTTCTGTTTTTGTTTTGGATTTTCAGTATCCACAGATCTTCGGTTTTGTTTTTCATTATAGTGATGTTGGTTAAGGGATAAGTATTGGGCAGCGTACAAGAAAAATCCTTTGCTCCTCTTTGAATAGTTCAACGAAACATTTTATGCCCACCTTAGAAAACAAACATGATCTTGGCTTAGATATAACACAGTTTGGAGCTGGAGGAACACAGCAGGCCAGGCAGCATCAGAGGAGCAGGAAAGCTGACTTTTAGGGTTGGGACCCTTCATCAGAAATGGCTTAATGTTTTATGTGGAAAGATGATGACTCCTACAATGTGGCACAACCTCAGTAATAATCATTGTGGATTACTCCAGTTTTAGGAGTGGGCTTGAACCCATGACTTCCAGGAGCAAGCACTGAGTCAATGCAAGCTGGGAAAAGTGAAATGCTGAGGCCTTTGGTAGTTGTCTTTTCCCTAGGATGGGAGGATTTCAAGACTAGGGGGCCTTTATAAGGTGAGAGGAGAGATTTTCACGAAGATGTGAGGGGCAGATGTTTTACACAGAGGGTGGTCCAAGTGTGGAATGTATTACCTGAGGAAGTGATGGATGTGGGCATAGTTACAATGTCTAAAAGACATTTGGATGAGTACATGATTAGAAAAGGTTTGGAGGATATGGGCCAGGAGCAGGCAGGTGGGACAAGTTTAGTTTAGGATTATGCTTGGCATGGATGCGTTGGACCAAAGGATTTGTTTCCGTGCTGTATGACTCTATGACTATGACTCAGACCTGGAGCCAGAAATATACAAGCAGCATTACTCTCTAGTTGAATTCACAATTAACAATCAGCTGTAATTATCAGATTCTCTCTAAATATTTAATAACATTATTCATATTTGAGAAAACCTTAATTATACATTGAGACTACAAGGTGTAGAGCTGGATGAACACAGCAGGCCAGGCAGCATCAGTGGAGCAAG